TGATCGGTATCGGTGATCGGCCCTCATGGGTGATCGGAATCGGCAGGAAATAACCTGATCGGCACATCTCTACTTACCAGATTTTTTCAAACATGGTAGGCTACCTAATGGCGAGGCATTTTCTGTGTAGTTACTAATGTAGACGTGTGTCCTATCCATAATCCAATATTTGGTGGCCTCATGCTAGTCTTCCTTTATTAGTAAGTATCTGAGCGTTAATCTTCTTACCTATAAAAAGTCTTTGTGTCAAATCCACAAATACACAGAGGGGTGCGAGTTCTTACAAATGATGGCTACCTCCCTGTCATCTTTTCTTATCAAGAGGTATCAAGAGGTAAGGATGCAAATTTGTTTGCATCCTTGTCTGTTTGTGGAACTAACCGAGAAGCACCCGATGACCATTTTAACACTGAAATCAAATGCATAAAAACAATATTAGGCTACCAGCTGCCTTGGTTTTTTGACGAGCTTCACTGAAGTTGACATCCACATAAGTTGTCAACTCTGTCATGGCAGAGTGTGCCATTTTCTGAAGAATGGCATCACAATAGAGGAAGCTGAGCAGACACATGGGAGGAAAATTTTCTCTAACAGAGTGCAAACATGACTTTGTGTTTCCTGCCATCAGGCGGAGATCTTTACCAGAGTTCTGCAGAGTGAAGAGTATGAGGAGAATGAGGACAAGACTGTGATGGCTCTGGGCATCCTTAGCACAATAGACACCATCCTTACTGTCATGGAGGACCACAAAGAGGTATCTCCCACATGCCCAAACACCCGCCAAACCCCAGAAAAAAAAAAAAAAAAAAAAAAAGCGTTGAAACATAAACTGTTTAAGGATATTCATCTTTGACACTAAACATTTTTTATTCACCAAACACATTTTCTGCAGTATAATTTGTGTTTCCATTTTCGAATTTATGGTTGAACTAATGCCTCGCTCTCTTCAATCAGAGTCAGAATTCCTTTTTTGTCATCAAGCACAACAAAATTTAAAATGAGCACCTTTTGGGTAGTCATTCACTACTTAATCAGAAGCGGTAGAAATTAACTTGCATATTTGAGGTCCCAGCTTTACCACACCAACTTTATTTATAAAGCACTTTAAAACAACCACAGCTGATACAAAGTGCTGTACATTAAAACACAACATAACAATAAAATAAAATAAAAATAAAAAACTCTTACAGTTTAAAAACAAACAATTTAAAACTAGATCCCGCTAGAGTTGAAAGCCAAGTAAAATAGATGGGTTTTAAGACGAGCTTTAAAGTGGACAGTGAAGGGGCCTCTCTGACTTGCAAAGGTAAGTTGTTCCATAATTTGGGGCCCATGACAGAGAAGCCCTGTCCCCTCTGAGCTTCCTTCTTGATCTCAGTACCTCCAAGAGCAGCTGATCTGCTGACCTGGGAGACCGATAGGGTATGAGGGGTGAAGAAGCTCAGAGAGGTAAGCCGGGACAAGATTATGTAGTGATTTAAAAACAAACATAAGAATTTTAAAATGAATCCTAAAATATACAGGCAGCCAGTGAAGTGAGTCCAGGACAGGGGTCATGTGTTCCCTCTTTCGAGTTCCTGTCAAAAGTCGTGCAGCAGCATCTGAACCAGCTGCAGACGTGAGAGCAGCGACTGACTGACTACCAGATAAAGTGAGTTACAGTAATCCAGTCGAGTTGAAATAAAAGCGTGGATCACTGTTTGAAAATGCTGCTTGGAAAGAAAAGATTTCACTGACGCCAGTCGCCTTAAATGATGAAAGCTTTTGTTGTTAGGCATCCAGCTTCTTTATGTTTTTATGTCTTGTAGTTAAATAAATAAACTGTTTTCCCATTTTTTTTTATTTCTCTTTTTTGTTTATAATTGTAAGACATATTTATTCTGTCCTGATTCTCAGAGATTTTTCTTGGTCTAGCTGTGAGAATCCTGAGTTTTAGAAGCCCGTCATCCTCATCTATACAATTCTCATGTTACACCTTGTAAGAAAGTAATATTGTAAAATTGTGTTGCTCAAGGTCTTTCTCTGTTACTTTTATCCTGATTTATTCTGTTCTGGCTAAAACTTTGCATTTTTGGAAAATTATTCCCTCTGTGTTTAGATGCTGTGCAGCTGCAAGGGCTTTTGCTGATGCTTTTTAACTTTTGGACATTTGTAATGATGTGCAACTATAGCAGCAAAGTGATATTTTACAACCAGGAGCAGTTGATTAATATTCAGTCAGAAGTTCAAATAATATCTTAATTGCAGCCCTACACCCCAGGTAAGTTGAAAAGAATGTGTCTTGGATACAAGGCAAGAGCGATGATATTTAATTTTGTTTGATCTGCATAAATATTGTTACGATGTGGAACAAAAGAAAGTATCATAAATAAATCCACTGCCAGATTCACATTGACTTCCATGGTTCATTTTTTGAGTTGAAGTTGCTTATTTGAGCAAATGACAGGTATGATCACATTTTTTAGTTGAGAGTAGTTTGGAAAAATATATGTGGGCTAATTATGCATTCAATCAATCTGCTATTGTTTGCTATTGTAGTAGTAGCTTTCTGTCCTTCATATAAAGTGCCTCAATTCCTCATATCCTTCATATGTGTGAGCAGGGGCGCAACTACACATTATTCAGGTGGATGGGAAAAAAAAAACCGGGGCCCCCCCCCCCCCATCTCCCTCTCCCCCGAACGAAGGTTGAAGGAGCGTGGAAAACATACGCTCGCTCCCCCCTCCCCCCCAGACGAAGTTATGTGAAGGATAAAAATCGCTACATTTACCTCGTCACGTGCGCGAGGTGAAGGAGCGTAAGGCGCGCTGAAGTGTATGGGAAAACACCCTCTCCAGACGGGGTTTTGGCGCCCCCTCTGGTGCTGCGCCCCTATGCGTTGCATGCGCTGCATACCCACTTTTTGCGGCACTGTGTGTGAGGTATCGCTTACGCACTTTATTTAGCATAACATCAGTGAATCTGTGATCGATCTATATATTGGTCTCTTGAAGAAATCTCTTGATGTGCATTCACCTGAATTACTTAAGCCTGTCTTAACATAGCTGCACCTCCTGAGCCTGGTTTGGTCTTTGTGAAATTGAGGTCACAAAGACCAAAATGGATGGAGAAAGCCAGCATGAACTGATGGCACTATGTCAAACCTGAGAAACCAGGCTTGACATAGTGCCATAGCAGGATTTCATAATCCTACTTTTGTGAAAAAGCCCTCTGGATGACACCATATATGTTTACAAGCACTATATCATTGCTGAATCCATGTCAGGCTTGAAGTAAATCTAACTTTTTAATTAACAATCTCACGTTGCCATTTATGATGGATGGTATTCAGTGTGCACACCTGATCTTCTTCCTTCTCTCTCTCTCTCTCTCTCTCTCTCTCTCTCTCATCTTTGCTCCTCCTCTGCATCCGTGATGCCTCCTTTTCAACTCCTCTGGGATTTCTGGCTTCAGTTGTGGTATTATTTTAGCTTTTCCTAAGTTAATCAGCTGCTTCCTGTATGAACCACTCTGTTGCTATGGTTACACATCATAACAAAATAGCAAAGTATTGGCAAAAATCAGTCCAACTACACAGCATCCAAAACAAGGAGGAGCAGTTGTTCTGCTACCCTGAGCGATATAATTCTAGAATCAAGGACATGTTACTATAAAGTATCATTTCTGCAACCCAGATATTGAACTGTAAGCAATAAGTTTTGTCCATACCATTTTCCAAAATAGTTCAACATTGTTTTTTCGGCAGCTTCTTGCTTTCCTCTGTTATATGTTGCTGATAATGCAATGCCAGTCATCAGCTTAGTTGTTACTGAAAACCTAATTTTTGTGAGGATATGTGGCGATTTTAACCAGGTCTCAGTCTGCTGCAACAACTTTTTAGCTGTTCCACCAGAGAAAACAAAACACTGGATTTGTTTCATGTAAATGTCGTGTTTTTAATGTTGTTTAAGGTCCAGATTAAAGTACAGAGAGGACTGGGCTTCTGAAATTGTGGGATGAATTGCTTCTTGGCTGCACATTGGTGCAATTAGTAGCATTGTTTCCTTGCAAGAAGGTTCTGGGTTCAATTCCTGGCCTGAGGTCTTTCTGCATGGAGTTTCCATGTTTTCCCTGTGCATAAGTGGGTTCTCTCCAGGTTCTCCGGCTTCCTCCCACAGTCCAAAAACATTATTGTCAGATTAATTGGTCTCTATAAATTCTCCTTGGGTGTGAGTGTGTGTGCCTGGTTGTTTGTCCTGTTTGTCTCTGTGTTGCCCTGAGATGGATTGGCGACCTGTCCAGGGTGACCCCACCTCTCATCCTTTGACAGCTGGAGATAAGCACCAGTACCCTCCTGACCACAGTGGGATAAGGGTGTAAGAAAATGGATGGATGGTTGGATGGAATTGCTTCTTCACATCAAGACTTCCACAATAGTCAACACTTTTTTCTGGTTTTAAAGCCAGACTGAGTCCTTGTATTTCTGTTGTTTAAACTCAGGCTTTTTATTAGTTTATGTCATTTACTTTTCCTTGGCATAAAGTATACTTCAGTTAATTTTTTTCTGTTAATTAGCCAGCTCTCTGGGCTGGTTTAATATCTCGGGAAACACACTTTTATTCAGACTTGCCACTTAAATGTTACATACTTTTTGATATGATTTATAAATAATTAAGACTTTAGCTGTTTTAATAAACTAGATCTGTTCAAAATAACACAACTGAATGATCTGTATGTATGGTAAGTCTATGTATATAAAGCATTTGCATAATGCAATCTCAACACTGAAACAATTTCTTCTCCTTTAGATCACTCAGCAGCTGGAAGGGATCTGTTTGCAGGTGATTGGCCTGGTGCTGCAGAAGCCCATCATAGGTATGGCAGGTGTGTGTTCACAGGAGGCGAAGTGTTCTTTATTCTTTTCTCAAGCACATAGATCCAGTTCAGCATCAGGTTTACTCTCTGTTGAAGTGGAAAAATATGAAACTATTATTAATATTATATTTGTGACAGTCCCACTACAGTGAGTATTAAGCGGCAGACTTGTGAACGTAGGCAGCAACCGTGCTTATATAAACTTATTCAGAATTTGTCTCAAGCCGACTATAGTCTTAATCTCACCCATGCTGGTTGATCCATAGTGTGCTCGTGATAAATGGACCTATGTTGTGCTTATCTAGCTAACCTAGTCAGATTCACTTTTCAAAATACTTTTATACACAAGCCACATTCATTCAGCCAGTATCACAAATGTGCACACTTGGAGTCAGTGGCTTTCCCAAATGTGACCAATTGGTAGAACTGAACCTCAGACTGTGATGGTGATGTTACTCCTCCAATTAAACACTTTGCAAACAAAAGTCTTTGTTAGATAACCTGCTTTATTTAGATGTGAAGCAGCTCCTAGGACTTTCCTAACTCCTCTTAAAGATACTAGGGCTGTTGTAAACAAATATTTTAGCAATAGAGTAATAGAGTAATCTATTGATTATTCTTACGATTAATCGAGCAATTGGATAAAAAGAAGATCAAATAAAACAGTAATATTGCGTCAGTTTCATCAATTGGACTGATATCAACATTAGTCCAATTTTTCATATTTGAGCTTCCCTAACAATAACTTTTCTGTAGTTTAGAAAACTAACCTGTAACAATAATAGCTCACTTTCTAAGTTAACTTGAAGAAAAGTTATACAAAAATCTGAAATTATATTCAATTTAATAATAAAGAGGCATGCTCACAACAAATACACTTATTAAAAAAGTCTATATTCCAGCTTTTCGTTTATGTATTCATTTTCAGTCAATTTAATAGATGAACTCTCACCTTGCCCAGCCATTTATAGCTTTTGTGTTTGTGTTAGTGACGGGATTTGACACCTTCATTCATCACACATAGAAACACATCCACCCGCTGTGTACGATGCGCTCCACCATTTGTTGAGACCGGGATGATATGAAATTTATTTTCCGGTTCGTCCATAAAGCTACGTATCTAAAGCACAGCTGACCGCAGTGTCCGTCTGTCCACTCACCTGTATAAATACACCTTCAGTGTTCTTCCCCACCATTCGCTCTGAACTGCCGTAGTCGTAGTCGAGCATCGCCCCAGTCAGATGCTTATTGGTCCCCCGAAAAACGACAGAAACCCAGACATTATCATCAATCAATAAAATCCTCCCAGGCCAAACTGTAACATTGGACGTTATTCTGCTAGCACTTAGCTTTTGTCAACAACTTATAGGTGGAAGTGACAGCACTGCACAACGCAAATAATAACCCAGACGGAATTATTCGAGGAATCATTTCAGTCCTAAAAGATACACTTACTCAATCTTTGATAGGTATATGTCTTCTTTCTTCTAACAGTTTTATTATTTTTTTTTATGAGCCATGTTGGCTGAGCCGTCCATAAATTTTTTTGTGTCACTAACATTTTCAGTTTACTCTGGGTCGCTTATCCTCTTCCATGGACATGGCCTAAACTCTCTCTCTCTAGCTCAGCTTTATTTAAGGTCCAAGCTGCTTGTCTGAATCTTCACTGCAGATTATAAATGTGTGTGTTTCCTGTTCTTTGCAGAGTTCTATGAGGAAATCCTGTCTCTGGCCTTTGGCCTCACCTGTCAGACCATCTCCCCTCAGATGTGGCAACTGCTTGGGGTCCTGTACGAGGTGTTCCAGCACGATTGCTTCGACTACTTCACAGGTACTTGCTTATAAATCTAACAGCACGGAACAGTTAGGAATGTGTACTGCTTTCAAAATCCATTGTAATTTCTTGCAGGACAGTGATGTACTCCAAACCTTTAAACATGGAAAAATAAAACAATTCTGAAATGAAATACTTTTAGAAGACTTAGCTGTAAAATTTCAGACATAAGAGCTTAATTGATCCAAAAATTCTCATAAGAAAATGATTTCAATTTCAAATTGGACGTGATTTTTTTATTTAGATTAGATTAATTACAGAAAAATTCAGCTGTAAAGTTGAGCTATTTTGTTAATAAATTCTTGGACTTGATTATAACAGCAGCCATCTACAAGAGCAGTGTCATTGACATCACTGTTTTTATTTCATTTTCAAAATAATTTGGTTACTTTTTTCTTTAGAAGTGTTAATCCTTTTTGTTTTTTATAGTTGATCGATTTTATTTGTGTTGCAGATATGATGCCTCTTTTGCACAACTATGTTACTGTGGACACAGATATGCTTCTGTCCAACCCAAAGCACTTAGAGGTCATCTACAGTATGTGCAAGAAGGTAAGACTGGAAAAATGTTTTGCTTCTGTGCATTGTGAAGGTCTCTGCCTGCCTGATGACGTTTAACATCTTCTCTATCCTAACATGCTGCAGGTACTAACTCTGGATGCTGGTGATGATGCAGAGTGTCATGCTGCTAAACTTTTAGAGGTGATCATTCTACAGTGCAGAGGCAGAGGCATTGAGCAGGTCAGAAGCAGCTCCAATAGCCATGTATTCATGTGGAGACATTTTAAAATTACATTTTATGCTGCTCATTCTTTAATTTAGAAACCACCATGTTTAAGAATTTTTATATGTATTTTATTTTCAGCTGTTCACCTGGACAAAAAAGTAGTCAGAACAGACTTCTCGTTTCCACACCATCAGCACTTCCACCTTCTTTTCTCTTGATGTTTAGTAAAAGACCAAACGTATGGTTAACGTCCACATTTGTGTATTTTCTGCTCTAGTGTATCCCTCTGTTTGTGGAGGCAGTGCTGGAACGTTTGATGCGGGGGGTGAAGTCCAGCGAGCTGAGGACAATGTGTCTGCAGGTGGTCATTGCTGCTCTGTACTACAACCCAGCTCTGCTCATTCAGACTCTGGACAACATGCACTTTCCTCACAGCCCACAGCCCATTACAGCCCACTTCATCAACCAGTGGATAAATGACACTGAATTCTTCCTGGGGTAAGGGTAGAATCAGCATGAAATCGTCACATTTTCTATTTCCTTTTTAATAAGTGGTATAAAAATGTTCACTAGATGTTTTTTTTACCTATTGTTAATTATTCATTGCACAAGTTCAATTCTGGCCAATATAGTTGGCCAGATGAGGGCAGCAGAATACTACACTAATACATTTTATAATGAGAGTTGCTTAATTTTCAACAACACATTACTTTGTGTAATGAGTTGAAAAGCAAATTTCATGTTAATTTAAATGTCTCTTTTCATTTGGGTTTATTATCTTTCACACACACAGATCTTTATCTATGTGTAAGCTTTTCAAACATTGGAAGGACTTGTTACTCATTTTCCTTTTCAGTTGTGAACTGGCATGAATCCAGCTTACAACAGCTGGATTCATGCTCATAATAATTGACCCGTACTTGTTCAAATCCAGAGAACCCCAAAGCGCCTCACACTACATTCAGTCATTGACCCATTCACTCACAGATTCACATGTTGATGGTGGCAAGTTAGTGGAGTGTAACCACTGCCCTTGGGCAGTCTTGACAGAAGTGAAACTGTCATCCACTGAACTCTCTGACCACCACAAGCAGGTAAGGCAGGCAAAATCTCTTGCTCAAGGACACACCAACAGAGATCAACATAGACAGGACTGTAACCGGCACAGGATAAACTCCTACGACCATTGACACCATTGCAGCATGACCGAAATTGTAATATGTGTCCTTTTAAAAAAAAAAAAAAGTTTCAAAGTTCTTGAGCTCTGCTGCATTCTTACTTAAGTGATGCAATGGTGTAATTATTCTGGATGGTGCTACAGAAATCATGATTCATCTAATCAGACTGTCTTCTTCCATCGCTCCATGGCTCTGGTTCGGTTGGTGCTTTCATCATCAAACATTGTTCTCTTGGATCAGTTTTAAGCTGCACTGACCTATATTTACTAGTGCTTTCTGTTCTGTTCTGTCTTGTCCTGTTCTTCTAGCAGGTTTACAGTTTTTTTGTAGGTTCTGGCAGGTGCAGACTGTGTCTGTCCCCACTGGCTGCACTCTCATTGACCTTTATCAACCCTACTCCAATAATTACTCTTTCTGATATTTCTTCTCCTTTCACCTCTCACAGGCTGTTTTACTTGCTATCTTATACCACTGCCAGATTACATGCCCCTAGACATGTAATCTAGGGGCATGTCTAGCATGCCCCTAGATTACTGTTGAGCAGCCCAATTTGAAGTGCTTGACAACTTCCCTCCTCAGATTCCATGACCGTAAGATGTGCATCATCGGTTTGACCATGTTGATGGAGCTCCCCAGCCGACCGGCAGCGCTGGAAAGAGTAGCTGGTCAGATCATCCCTTCCATCCTGCTCCTTTTCCTGGGTCTCAAACACATGTATGCATCCCGTCTCATCAACAAACCAGACCTGCTTGCCCATGCAGGGGCTCATGATGAAGATCAAAATGGTAAAAAAAGGCATAGCTGAGACTAAGCTATCCCTTCAACACATAAAGCGCCATTTTCTTAAAACTTTTTTAATTGAAGTGTATGTTTCACTTGAGGATCCATGATGATGACTGCAGTGAGTGATTCATTTTGTCTGTGAGCAGAAGAAATCCCCAGTGATGAAGATGAGGTGAATGAAAGCCAAAATACCATATATCATCAGTCCAGCATGGCAGCAGGCCAGGGAGGTGACAACAACGATAATGATGATGAGGATGACTACTGGGATGAAGATGCTTTTGAGGGAACACCCCTTGAGGAGTACAGCACTCCACTGGACTATGACAATGGAGAGGACGAGTACCAGGTCTTTACCTCCGCCCTGCTAAGTAAGTTATGATTCATAAGTAAGTCATGTTTGCGTCTGAATAAGACACAAGCAAAGGGCCACACTTCCTGTTTTCATAAAAAAACTCCACCATCTTTTTTCCACTGTCCTGGAGTTCCTAATAAATGAAAATGTATTGTCTCCCCTCCCATGGTATTTTTTAAATAAATACCTGATCCAATCCCCTTATTTATATTTATATTGTATATATTTCTTACATTGTTTGCACTATTTTTGGAGTTGACTTTAATTTCATTGTACATGTGCACAAACAACAATAAGTTCAAGAAGAAACATAACCAATCCCTAACACTGCTTTGACGACCTTTGAAATATACTCTGGATCCCAGAGAAGGTTCCTGCAGTCAAAACGCAAATGGTTGTTTGCTTGTGTCTTACTTTATAGGTTTCTTAATCCATCCTCTGTACTGTCTACTGTTCAGTCTACAAAGAATTCCATAAGTGATTCTATATTATACTAAATTACACTGACATAACTGGACAGTTATTCAAACAGTTTTGAATATTTCATGTGTTATTTAGCCAACTCCTTTACCTGAATAACTCACAGGCAGTAGTGACTGTCTATGGGTTATTCAGGTAAAGATAGTGTAGATATTTATCTACTCTTTGGATAAATATCTAAGTAAACCAGTGATTTTAAACCTGTTTTTCACAAATCTCTCAGTAAATCCTAAGGTTTCTGAATACCTCCATCCTCACATGCAGTATTACAACAGGAGTGTGTGTCTGTGTGGGGTGGGGTGCATGTTTCAGGAATTCAGAACAGCAATGCTGCCTGGTACCAGTGTTTGATGGCTCCACTCAGTGATGATCAGAAAAAACAACTCCAGGAAATCTACAGCATCTCACAGCAGAGAAGGAGCACCGCTGCCAAGGGCCACTGGTGAGATAACCAAAGCAGAGGTGGATTCAGAGAAGAGCAGAGCTTCAAACTTCCTGTTAAAAAACTTGAACCAAATGTTCAGTGATTTCAATTTCTCTGCCACTGGTCAGGGCCAGTTAGTACCAGATCAGGGCCTCTGGTCCTAACGCAGTTTTCTGAAAGCCTCTCCCGGGCTTTCATTTCATTTATTTATTCCAAACAGGTTTTTCAAAACAAGAAAAAAGCAATCAGTAGAACAGATTAAACATGTCCATACATAATCAAGAACAAAATTATTTGTTTACTACTACTTGTCTGTTTGAAAAGGAGTATAAAGAAGTAAACACTTATTTAATCTTATCCTTACTCTCAATTACTTAGCAAAAGGATGACAGAGTTCTTTTCTACTCTGTTGAGTTTGATCTTCACATTAATTTTTGTGTTTTCAGAGCGCCGAGGAGATATATGTCCTGCTGTATCAAAGGACTGGGTCAAAATAATAAATGAAAAAAAAAAAAAAAACAGAAGAGTAAAGAGAAGCTGACCTGACTTGAACTTTGATTTCTGTTCAGTCTGCTGTTTAAGAACAGATCAAGCCATATCAGGTGAGCGGGATTCAAACAAAACCAGATTGGATGAGGCTGGACTTGGGAGAGTTAAGGACCAGATGCACTGCTGTAATCTTCCTAACACCACACAGGATTGCTGTTCTAACTGTATATGTGTGTGAGGACATTTATAAATCTAACTGTTTGTGACCAGCAGAATCCCTGTAGATATTTTGTATGTGTAGTCTCTTCGGTCCATGGTGAAAGATCAGTCCTTCTGTCTGAGAAACTCTACAGCATGAAGACATCTCACAATGTGTCTTTACACTGTGAGCTTGTCTTTGTCTCTGTTCCTGAACACGCATCATCTCATGAAGTAAAACGCCATTTCCAGCAGGACACTGTGTGTACTGTATCCAGGACAAATGTTCACACACCTTTAGCTGGGATCTTCATTTTTAAATGTTTGGAGACAAATATTTCAGGAGGCATCTTTCTCTTGGTTTTGTTTTTGAATATTCTTCAGTGCTAATTTGGCTAATCTGAGAAAATCCTAAACATTCTCGTAACACTCTGCTGACTTGGTTTGGTTGTGTTTGTACTCCTGCAACTATATTTTGTTCAACATTAAAATTAATTCATCAGTCCTAAATGTACAAAATGTGTGTGTCAAATAGGAAGAAACAACAACTGTTCAAACATTTCTTGGCAGTCCTGGGAAATATGGAATAAAATAAATTAATCTTTCGTATGTCGCACTTGAAATATTTCAACACTTTCAACTTTTATTTTGTGTAGCTCAGAGTGGTTGGTTTATTTCTGTCACTAGAAGGTGCTAGCTTTGGAACCTACGTCACTGCGTGTGACGTTTGCGTCTGGTGCAGTCGCTCGGCGCCATCTTTGTTGGCCACAGACCAAAACAAACTAGTCAGAACACCGGTGTTTTCTTTATGTTACCCACTGCAGTGAAGTTGTCTTCAAGTTGGATACTGCACAGCAAATTCAAAAGTGTTAAATGTTTTGGTGTTAGTAGACTTTTTGCAAAAGCAGAGTTAATTTTACTCTAGTAGAGTCACATTCTGTTTATGTAACTCTGGGGTGTATATTATTAGTAGTTAAAATCCAGTGTTAAAACAAAGTGTTTCCTTATCAAATCTAGAGGTGTTAAAATGGAATCAATAACTCTTGACTTCTTAACTCTGAACTCCACCAGCGGCTCTAACACTGAAGGAGTTAATTCACTGCCTCCGCCCCAGACTCACAGATTCCCAGCGAAGCAACAGAAGCCAAGTCATTTCAGGACTATTTACTCTCCACATGTCTGAGTTATTTACTGCACTCGGTAAGTCATTTTTTTCTGAGATGGTTTATAACTATTATTTTGAGTTGAGCTCAACCTGTATGATAGACGTCACGTTCGCCACACGGCTCGGTGTTAGCATATTTAGCTTAGCATGCCGAATGTTAGCGGAGTATTTGTTGGAAAAATAAAACAATCTGAAATCTCCAAATCGACTCATCACTGAACAATTTAAATCCCTAAAACTCGAGGATCCGGGGTTGGGCTTTGTTGACGCCTGGTATACCATTCTGATGAGAACAAGTTAACATTGCATCCACCTCCTCAGACAATCCGTTACTCGACGGTCAGGTTTTTTTTCCCTCCCCCTTCATCGACTTGCTTGATGACAGAGGATGGCGAGCTACCCACACACCACCTGGTGTTAGGAAAACGAAAGACACTCTCCACACAGGAAAGCCAAATGACACTTTTCACACAGGAAACAAACTAAACTCTAAGGGAGTATTCAAAGGAAAATAACTATTCTCCCTTTGTTCGTGGACTTCCTTTGGACTCTATTGGGATTTGAAGTATCACTGATTTTTTTTTGGTTTTTTTTTTTGATTGCTCCGTTTTTTTCCCTCCTCAATTTATTTTTGTTTTGTTCTTATTATTATTATTATTATTGCCACTGCAATAAATAGCAATAAAAACAAACCTCTTTGCATCAGTTGCATCAATTATCCACCCCAATCATGACTACATGCCGTACCTACTTCTGATTCTACAAAGTGGTTAACACTAAACCTTGCAGTCAGACCTGCGCATTTAAAAAGAGCATTACATTTGGCGAGCCAGCCAGGAGTCTTGTAGTGGGTGAATAATTGAATAATTCTACAGTGCTTTTATTTTGGACGTGTTATCATTAACAAAAGGAAAAATGGATGTTGTTATTCAGCTGGGTTTAAACATGCAACGATCTGTTAGTTACTGGCACTCAGAGCTGTGAGGTTTGCCATGTCAGTGATCCACAAAATATATTTTATAAAAACCTGATTGTCGAGTTTGAAGAAGATTCTACATTAAATGCATTACAACCCCTTTTCCCATATGATTACCCTTCCCGAACCACAGTAGATGCAATATTTCGTGTTGCATCTCTCGCTTCAGAGTATGCAGCTTTAGTGAGGAGCAGCAGCCTTCCCATGGACTACATTGATGAGCTGAAGAACATGGCTAAATGAAGTGGAAAACAGTTTGAGGAGGTCCTGAAAGGTGTGATGGATCAAATCAGTATACATTTGGAGACAACAGGAGGTGATGATGGAGATGATGATGATGATGGTGGTGATGATTCAGATGATGATGATGGTGGTGATGATGGAGATGATGATGGTGGTGGTGAAGAAGAGGAAGAAAAAAAGAAAGCATCCTCACCTTAGCACAATCTGTGCAAAGTCAGCAGGTGTTACCAACTGTACTTCAAGCCTCTTCAGCTCCTCCAACCCATTCGTCCACTGATCAGCAGGGAGCACCACCTGGACCCAGTCACTCCCGTATACCACCAACCCAGAGGGTTCCTTTGTCGAGGAATGACCTCATTCCACAGGACGTTCAAAGAGTTGTGGTGGAGCATGTTGTAAAAAATAGTGACTTTTCCACATCTTCACTTAGACTCCGCTCATTTTCAGGAAAAATTCCTAAACCAAGCAATGAAGCGGACTATGACTCATGGCGATCTCAAATCGCCATGAGTCATGATGATTTGTTACTGTTACTTGCTGATCCCAGCTGATCCCAGCCTTTCCAGGTTGCATGTTAATCGGCGAATTGTTGAAAGTTTGTTGTCACCAGCTGCAGATTTGATTAAATGTTTGAGCCCTGCTGCACCGCCTTCCACTTTTCTTCAAGTCCTTGATTCAGCTTTTCAGACAGTACAGGATGGAGAGGAGCTTTTTGCTCAGTTTTTAAACATTTTTCAGAACCCTGGAGAGCGGCCATCTTCCTTTCTCCAGCGATTGCAGCTTACCCTCAGCACAGTAATAAAGAAAGGAGGAATATTACCAAGAGACAAAGACACACATTTACTTAAACAGTAAACTCAGTCATCTCCAAGTTGCAGCTTGAGGAGAAAAAAAGCAATCCTCCCCCATTTTCTGAACTTTTGTTGTCACTCCGGACAGAAGAGGACAGACAAATTGCTAAAGAATCCCTAATGAGAAAGCACATTCATTCATCTAAACAAAAAGTGACCATTCAGTCTCAGAGTACCTGCTCTTGTGGTCATGACACAGTTAATGAAGAACTGAAATAACTAAAAGAGCAGATTCAACAACTCCAACGGCAGATGTCTTCCTTCATGTCCAGAAAGACACCTGTTAATGTAAAATCAGAACTACGACAGACCAAGTCTAAGCCAACACCTCAGACCGCGAACTAGGTGTAGCTACCGTGAGCAACACCTCACCTCAGACCGCTGGAAGACCAAAGCCAGGGTACTGTTTTAACTGTGGTGAGAATGGTCATATGTCTTCCCAATGTAGCAACAAAGCAAATCCAAGCCTTGTGGAACAAAAGAAGAAACAGCTTCATCAGAAACAATAAGCGTGGGATGAGAAAAAGTCAAGTCAGCAGTTAAATGAAATGCAGTTCCTGCTGAGGGACACCCAGGAGCTGCCACCATCAGCTGTCCCGAAACCCACTCTGAATCACATTTTGTATTACTTAAGGGTCTAATCAGTACAAAGAGTATGGGCCAAATCCAAATAAAGGGAACCAACTTCAGCTGCCTTCTTGACATCGGGTCGCAAGTCACTACAGTACCAAATTCATTTTATAATACCCACCTCTTTGACCATGAAATTATGTCTCTGAACAATCTGTTGGAAGTTGAGGGCGCCAATGGCCAAAATGTACCATACCTTGGGTACATTGAATTAAATTTGACTTTTCCACCTGAATTTCTTGGCTCACCAATTGAAGTGGACACCCTAGCTTTGGTAGTCCCAGACACCAAAACCACACATCCACTTTTACTAGTAGGCACAAATACACTTGACATTTCCTACAAGAAGCACCTTGAGAGCCAGTCTACTACTTTTAAACCCACTGCCTTTGGGTATCAAGCTGTCTTGAAGATCCTGCAGAACAGGCATGTTCAAAACTCACCTGAACATCCAGTTGTTTTAACTCTGCAGCCTGACCAACCACAAACCATATTGTCTTGCCAAACTGTTGTCCTTGAGGGATATTTGACCACACGGTTATTGAGGGAAGAGAAGGTGGTTGTTGTTGAACACCCAACCTCTTCCTGTCTGCCTGGGGGACTTATGGTTAAAGCCTGTCTCATTAACATACCTCAACATCAGCCTTGTCACCTGCCAGTTGTAGTAACTAATGAGTCAGACCATCCAATTATCATCCCCGCGAGAGCAGCCATTGCAGAGATTGCTGCATTAGAGTCTGTTATCTCCAAAGAGCACAGTGTCAAAGTCCATGACAAGCCTGCAGAACCATTAACACCTCAGCTTCAATACAATTTTGGAGAATCACCTCTAACGCCACAATGGAAAAGTCGGATCATTTCAAAGCTCAACAGCATACCAGAGGTCTTTGCCAAACATGACCTTGATTTTGGTCGTACAGACAAGGTGAAACATCAAATAAAATTGTCTGACCCTACACCGTTCAAACAAAGACCACGCCCTATACATCCACAGGATGTTGATGCTGTGAGAAAACATCTTCAAGAACTGCTTGAGTCTGGAATAATCCGTGAATCAGAATCTCCATTTGCTTCACCCATTGTGGTGGTGCGCAAGAAAAACGGCTCTGTATGCCTCTGTATTGATTATCGGAAACTTAACATACAAACCATTAAAGAGGCTTATGCACTTCCAAAGCTAGAAAATGCATTCACCCCACTGGCAGGCTCTACATCAGGGGTGCCCAAGTCCAGTCCTCGAGAGCTACCATCCTGCAAGTTTTAGAAGTATCCTTACTCCAACAGACCGGGATCAGCTCTACAGAGGCCTGATAACGAGCCATTCATTTGATTCAGGTGTGTTGAAACAGGGATGCATCTGAAAGTTGCAGGATGGTAGCTCTCGAGGACTGGACTTGGGCACCCCTGCTCTAAATGGTTCTCTGTGCTGGATCTAAAATCTGGGTATTACCAGATAGAAATGGAGGAAGCTGACAAGAACAAAACAGCCTTTGTTTGTCCTTTAGGCTTCTGGGATTTTAATCGCATGCCACAGGGAGTGACCAATGCTCCAAGCACCTTTCAACGACTCATAGAAAAATGTATGGGTGAGCTCCATCTGAAAGAAGTTCTGGTTTTTATTGATGATTTGATCATCTTTGCACCAACTCTTGAAGAACATGAAGAAAGATTGATGAAAGTCCTAAACAAATTAAAGGACTTTGGGCTAAAACTGTCCAGTGAAAAATGTGTGTTCTTCCC